TGGTTTAACCAGCGAATAGTTTTCAATCACGGAAATCAAATTATCAAACCTCCTAAATATTGAGCATATTTGGACAGCAAGTTTTCATATATGTCGGTTTGATTCAAGAAAAAAGAAAGTTTAGGGTTTTACTTTGTTTCTTAATTATTTTTTTTTAGAGTTCGAACCATTTTTCTTGTTCCCGGGGAGAATTCAAACATAAATTGTCCAATATCTTCTGAGCGCTTTCATAGGTCTTTAGGAATTAATTTGTGTGTGTGTGTGTGTGTGTGTGTGTGTGTGTGTGTGCGTGCGTGCGTGTGTGTGTGTGTGTGTGTGTGTACGCGCGAATATGTATGCATTGTGTTTTATTTGATAGTTTTCGGCTACCGTGTCTTCATATTTTAATGCTTACATAGAGACATCTCTAAGATTGCGCACTTTTTACCATAAATTAGCATACATTGTTTTTATTATATATATATATATATATATATATATATGTGTGTGTGTGTGTGTGTGTGTGTGTGTGTGTGTGTGTGTGTGTGTGTGTGTGTGTGTGTGTGAGTGACCGTTCGGTTGTAAAGTGAAATATTTTGATTCTCCAAAATTAAATCAAGTCACTGTTAAAATTTGACCACAAAGAAAAACCACGATTTCACTTTCTAGTTATGGAGAAAAATAAAATGTAACATTTTTTTTTTCTTTTTAGGCTTCAATAATTTTAAAATGTGGGCGTTGCTTTTTTTGTTTTTACTTTTTCTGGAAAACCTTATTTATTTTGCTGTATTTTCTGATTCACGAAATAGATATCTTTTGGACAGACTTCCTCTGAGAGAATAATATGTAGAAAGAATGAAATATTATATATATATATATATATATATATATATATATATAGAGAGAGAGAGAGAGAGAGAGAGGCAGACAGAGACAAAGTGTGTGTGTGTGTGTGTGTGTGTTTATCCGTGTGTCTGTGTGTGCGCTGGAGGGTAGTGCATATGGAATATACATAAATATAAAATATTCCTCAAGGACACATGGCCCAGTAGATATTAGCGTTACTTGAATCCCGCAACTTGGCCCCAAGAGCTGTGAGTTCAATATAACTGGTGACCAAAAATTTGGAGAGCTGAGTTAAAGGAAGATATCTGAAACATCCGGAAGCGGAGCGGTACGTGGAACTAGAACAAACTACTCCGGTAGACGAAATAAAAGGTTCATTTCGAAATTCCACTCAGCTGAAGAGCATACAATGGCCGAAACGTCGTGAATATGGTAATAAAGATGAGGACAACTGTCTGAACAATGTAGATAATGCAAATAATAAAATATTTAAATGTGAAATAAAAAAAAGATCATAGAAAAGGAAACTGAGATATAGAGAGAAGGACTAAAGATGAATGAAAGGGTTAAAGGGGAAAATTTTGAAAAACCTGAATATCCTCATAAAAAAAGAGAGACAGAGAGAGAAGAAGAAAGAAAAGAATTACAAAAAAAAGAAAAGAAAGAAAAAGAAAAGGAAAATAAAGTTAAAAACTTACCAAGAGATACAAAGGGAAAGAAAGAAAGAAAGAAAGAAAGAAAGAAAGAAAGAAAGAAAGAAAGAAAGAAAGAAAAGGAAAATAAAGCTAAAAATTTACCAAGAGATACAAAGCGAAAGAAAGAAATAAAGAAAGAAAGAAAAAAAGAAAGAAAGAAAGAAAGAAAGAAAGAAAGAAAGAAAGAAAGAAAGAAAGGGAAATAAAGCTAAAAACTTTCCAAGAGATACAAAGCGAAAGAAAGAAAGAAAGAAAGAAAAGGAAAATAAAGCTAAAAACTTACCAAGAGATACAAAGCGAAAGAAAGAAAGAAAGAAAGAAAGAAAGAAAGAAAGAAAGAAAGAAAAGGAAAATAAAGTTAAAAATACCAAGAGATATAAAGCGAAAGAAAGAAAGAAACTAACAAAGAGAGAATTGTCATGAATTACAGAGGGAGAGAAAAAGTAAAAACTGGAGAGAATTAAAGAAATATATACATGGTAAACTTATATTTATTTATTTGCTGGACATATTTGTTTTGGATGCGTTAAAATTTACAAGTCATTCCTTGCCCCAGTTAACCATTGATTGGAGCGCCTTGTTTCTCTTTGTAATGTTTGTCTTTCCCTGTGATATGAGTTCGAAAGTGGACGCAACTGACGAACCCGGAACTGAAACTCGGCTTCTTCATAAAACTTTGATCGTTGAAATCCATTACTTTACCGGCAATATCCACGGGAAAGTAAAGGCAAAGAACACCCGTGGAATTTCCATGAGTCAAACACGTAGATTATTGTTCGAATATTAAACAGTAAAAAAAACAAGTTAAGCGGGAAATGAGAAGAGAAAGAAAAGAACTGGGATGGCGAATGCAAAACAAAAAAAGAAAAAAAAGAATGAAAATAATAATAAAAAAAAAGAGGGTGAAAAAGAATGTAGAAGACAGGAGTAGAGGGAAGTAAAGAGAAAAGGTTAAAAAAAAAAGGAAGAAAAAGTCATTTGACTAAGTGAGTGGTAACGCGAGAATAAGAGGATGAAGTGGATTTAAAAAAAAAAGGTTGCTTTATAAAAAGACAAGGAAAGGGGGGGAAAGAGAGAGAGAGAGAGGGAGCAATGTAAAAATAAAAAAAAATCTCTTGTGATAATGGATGCCAACAAAACTAACACTGAAACGACGTGTGTGGCGGATTTAGTGAAAGAAGAAAGATCGCAAAAGAAGACCGAAAGGGAGAAACAGACAGAAATGGGGGGAAGGAAAATATCCAGCTGTTTATAGAGAATTACTTAAAAAAATAGTTAAAATGATATTAATACTATTTATGCCCCATAGTAACTGCTCCATTTGCCAACACATTGCATACAATAAATGTAATACTTATTATGGAACAGGGAGAGTACATTATTTACATATATAGTATTTACGTGCTATAATAATTTTTCCATTCACGAGCACCAATAAGACATTAAATGTAAAAATTATCATGGGACAGTCGAGTATGTCATACTGTGTAAGTCAAAAACTATCCGTACTTTCGCCATATGCAAGAATGAGGACATTTCTTTCCTTCGTGTATATATATATATATATATATATATATATATATATATATATATATATATATATCGAAAAAAGTATAAAAATTTAATATTACAAGACATATTAAAAAAGTATTAAATAATAAAAAAAAACAAAAAAAACTCAACAACAAGGGGTGGGAGCAACCGGTTTGCTCCCCCTTGTTGTTGAGTTTTTTTTTTTTTTATTATTTAATACTTTTAATATGTCTTGTAATATTAAATTTATACTTTTATTTCGATCATTAAATTTTGTACCTAAAAAATATCTTTAAATATAAATATATATATATATATATATATATATATATATATATATATATATATATGTGTGTGTGTGTGTGTGTTGATATAATAGGAAAGAACTGTTAGATTGATGATCCGAAGTTCATTAGTATTTTTTGTTTTTATTTAAAAAAAAAAAAAACATTGCTTGATACAGAAGTAGAGGATAGATTATAATTATATATTTTTTTTTTAAATATGATTCAATTGCGACACAGAAATTACTATGTTTCAAAACTGATCAGCAGTATTCAGGTTTAATTTCAATATTAAACCCTAACTACCGGGGGGTGGCAATCTCATTCTCAGGTGATGTTTGGAATAACTATGCTACAGAATGTTTTACATGAAACTAAAAGCAGTGGCCAGTCACTGCTGACCTGGTTATTTGAATTAATATATATATATATATATATATATATATATATATATATATATATATATATGTGTGTGTGTGTGTGTGTGTGTGTGTGTGTGTGTGTGTGTGTGTGTGTGTGTGTGTGTGTGTGTATTACAGTAATATTTACCCAACACAAGACCCGGAGGCCACTTGAGGTAGAGGGTTACGTTAGGAGACAATTTGTGTGTATAGGAGTGAAAGATTAACCCTAGCCTTGAACAGGTTAAGATTGTAGTGACCGGGGAAACATCCTCTTAGGAGTCGGTTCCACAGAGCAGTTTTTTGCCGGTAGAAGCTGTTCTCATTGATGGAATACGGAGGGAATGTGGGTGGTTGGCTTCAATGTAAATGGTATGGCGTGTCCTTGCCGTGTAGAACGGAATTGGTGGGACCAGGGAATGTAGTTCTTCCGAGCACTTTCCATGAAAGTAACGATAGAGCAGCGAGAGGCCTGCCACATTCCGTCTGTGGGAGATGTGTGTGTGTGTGCGTGCGTGTGTGTGTGTGTGTGTGTGTGTGTGTGTGTGTGTGCGCGTGCGTGTGTGTGTGTGTGTGCGTGTGTGTGTGTGTGTGTGCGCGCGCGTGTGTGTGTGTGCGCGTGTGTGTTTGAAGGTGTTTTCGAAAACTTCTCCACCACGCAACTATCAAAAACAAAGACCAAAACCTTCAGCTTAGAACTCAAATTCACTGACGGCATTTAACAAAAAAAGAGGCACATTTGACACCATAGCTAGTTAGAAACCACAAAATGAATGACACGGACTTTGAGAAAAGCTTGGGGGGGAATAATTATCCTGAGAATGGGTTGAAAGGACAAAATACGCACACACATACATACATACGTACATATGTATATATATATATATATATATATATATATATAATCGACTCTCCGTCGAGATTCGACGTATGAGGGTCAAGCAGATCAGTTTCCAGGAAACCGACAACCCGACACCGGCACATAAGATTTGATTATAGTGGTGAAGGCCTCGTGCAGGACCATCCACACTTTTTGAAGGGACGAATACAGAGACCTGGTGCACCTAATGCCACAAGGTTCCCAAAGTTGTCCTTCTCCTAGATCTGTTGCCATCCAAGGCTATACAGCCCAGTCTGTCCTGCTATTTCACCCATAGCTGGAGGGAGAGGAAGAGGATTCATACCTTTCCCAAGGGTATTAGCACGTAAGTGAATGTAACGGATTCGACTGAAATATATATATATATATATGAGAGAGTGGGTGACATATTGGAAAACTATTTTAACCATGCGTTTCCCCGACGATATTTGTTAGGTTCGATGTCTTCAAATTGGGATGAAATACAAAAATTGTATGTAAGGAAAATGCATGAGGATTTTTTAGGATAAGTAGGGCAAAAAAATTAAACTACCTTATCAGATCCAATGACCAGAGACCCTAATATATATATATATATATATATATATATATATATATATATATATATATATATATATAGATAGATAGATAGATAGATAGATAGATAGATAGATAGATCATATATCCTCACGTATCATGAGACTTTTGACAACATAATTCTGAAGCTAATTTTAAAGGTTCCGTATCATATAAGGGATATAAACCTAAAGGGTATGTACTGCTAGCCCAGCCTACTACAAACTATATATCCATTTTCTGTAGTCAAATTAGTTTCAAAATAAGGTTTTCAAAGGTCGCATGATACGCGAGTGTATATGTTATCTTTGGTGTCTATTGAAATTTAAGTAAGTTCACACTACGTAAAACTGTTTAATTGTTTATTAAATACTAAGAAATATACAAAATAACTTACGTTGATTGCACAACTCTGAGTTTCATGCAATACTTGAAAATTGCGTCGGCATGAAACTCAGAGTTGTGCAATCAATGTAAAGTATTATGTATAATTCTTAATATTTATTAAATAGCTCTGTTATTTAACATTGAGCACTACTTTTTCTTACACTTTAGTGTATTTATATATATTTGTATACGATCGCGCGCCCTCACATCTAACTATATTTACCCATTAGGTTATATATATATAAATGGTGGTACTCGTTTGGAAAAACCTCGGATAGCTCAACTTGCAGTAGAACAAATTTGTACCCGAGGAAAAATGGGGAATAAAAAAGAAGAAAGAACAAGAACATTAAAACAACGTGAAAATAATCGTCCAGTGTTCAAGTTCCAAGTCCAAAGAAAAAAAATCCCCAAAAACCTGTAAAAAGACAACTACGTAAAGTGCCTAAGTAGAGCAAAACCTAAGATAATCCTAAGGAGCCAGGCAAACCTACCTAGGTTATACCCAAACGGAACTTTAGGGTAAAGCCGGCTTTACCCTGAAGATCCGTTTACGCGAAACCTAGATAGGTTTGCCTGGCTCCTTAGGATTATCTTATAATAATTATTCCATTTGCTTAAATATTTCATACATTAAATGTAATCATTATTATTGGATACTATCTAGTTATATATAATACATTTAAATAAACAAAATTTCACCCCAAGCAAGGCAATAAAGCCACTAGAACGCAAAGGGTTACCGAGTTCGAAATATTATGACAAAAAGAAAAACATTATTAAGGAGAGCGACCAATAAAAATCAGGAATTAGGAAGATAAAAATAATGATTGACATTTCATTTAAATTTTTGAAGATCAAAATTGACTGGAAATGTAGAAGCAGAATGAGAGTTCCACAAGCGAGAAGTGCGAGAAATATATGTTTAATAACACATTTGCATACACTAAACTACTATTGATTGTTATGGGATAGGGATAGTACTTCTAAAGAAACTTGGGCAGAAGAAACTAGAAAAGGGATATAAACAAGGAATTTATATAATACCGGCTCTTCAGAATGGCCACAGAACAAGTCCAGAATTTTGGATATGAAAAATAATCTCGGGATTGGAAATTGGTGTATACATATTACTAATTAAATATAAATAAATTAATTAATAGACTAATCTTTACATCTGTCCATTCTACGCATCATATCAATATTTCGATGATCTCTGGTTGACTCATCAATTTAGTACATTTCGTAATTTCTTCAAATAGTTATGGCGGATAACCGGTTGAAGCAAATGGTCGTGATTGTGATAGTGGCGAGAACTCCCGAAGGTCTAACCGAGAAAAGAATAGATTTCGTTTTCTAGGTGACTGTGTGGGTAAGTGACTTCATGTTAATGAAAATAACTTTTATTCCCGAGAGAGGTTTCCTTTGGCTACACAATTCCAAACTATATCAATCTGTACCAGACTCGTTCCCAGCCGACGTCCGACATTAACGCGACTTGTTCTGTAAATACCCAGATATGGATGATAAGGATGCCATTCTATCAAACTCACAAAACAAAGATTTTATCTTATTTAATATACTCCGAAGTAAATTTCACAGAGCTGCGGTGGGTAGAAAGAGGTGGTAGCGGGTGGCTGAGGAGTGGATATAAAAATAAAATAAATAAAAAAGATCCATGCTTTCATTTATCGTACTCGTGCGGCGGTTATCAGCAAGTAGAACGGAATCAGCAGACAAAGGTTCAAATTCCAGCTGAGGCTGCTTCCATTCACTTCCTATTAAAATACTTTGGGAAGGCATGAAACCATATCCCAGATTTATGTCATGTCTCCAGATGTCTTAACAAAAAATCTCATATGGCATGAAGGAGTAATGTTTCAATAATATTGCAAACCACTGTACTATAACTGTCAATGTACTCAGCTAGCTAGCTACTACATGTGTTATTAGGCTTGAGATATCTATCTATCTATCTATCTATCTATCTATCTATCACATTCCACTCATATCTATCTATTTATCCAACTCGTTTTGCTCATATCTATCTATCTATCTATCTATCTATCTATCTATCTATCTCATTCTGCTCATATCTATCTTTCTATCTCACTATGTTCATATATATTTGCCGTAGTCTGCTTACATCTAAGTCGGATCATATCTATCTATCTATCTATCTATCTATCTATCTATCTATCTATCTATCACATTCTACTCATATCTATTTATCTATCTCGTTTTGCTCATATCTATCTATCTATCTATCACGTTCTACTCATATCTATCTATTTATCTATCTTGTTTTGCTCATATCTATCTATCTATCTATCTATCTATCTATCTATCTATCGTTCTACTCATATCTATCTATTTATCTATCTTGTTTTGCTCATATCTATCTATCTATCTATCTTCACGTTCTACTTTTGCTCATTTATCTATCTTGTTTTATCATATCTATCTATCTATCTATCACGTTCTACTCATATCTATCTATTTATTTATCTTGTTTTGCTCATATCTATCTATCTATCTATCTATGCATCACATTCTACTCATATCTATCTATCTCATTCTGCTCATATCTATCTTTGTATCTTACTATGTTCATATATATCTACTCACTCTGCTTATATCTAAGGCTGATCATATCTATCTACCTATCTATCTATCTATCTATCTATCTATCTATCTATCTGTCTGTCTGTCTGTCTGTCTGTCTGTCTGTTCATGTCTATTTCAGACTAGCTTTCTTGGTTCCGTAACAAAATCGTGCTTGCTATTTAGTCGCATTGAATTCAGCCGAGTGATGGGGTAAAATAAAACAGTAACATTTCAGCAGAACATTACTTATCTACATACCCCCAGGACTGGACGGCCATTATAGAGTAGGCGATGTGCCATCAAACTACGTTTAGAATCCAAATCCAAACCGTGCTTAGAAATAACGGTGACGAAGATCTGCTAGAAAAATGCTTCTTTTTTTAATAATGCCTTATACCAGACTAAGCTAACTTTTGTAAATATCTACTGACATATTTCGTATGGAAACTGAGTTAGCCGGTTAACTTACAGACTATGCTTAGTGAACTTTATCGTCATTCGAGGCCCAACTATTGTGCCTTTTGCCAGACTTTTAAGATTTATAAATATCGATTAAGGTTAGACTCACAAGGCATTGATAGTGAGTTAAACCTAGTCCTCTGTCTCCACTACTGTGACCTTTTGCCAGACTAAGCGAAGTTTAGTGAATATCTACATAAACAAAACTTAAAGCTAATGTTGTACTCTTCCAAATATTTAACACCGCAAAAAACTTGTTTTCACACGCATCGAGATATCGATCTATAAATACCTATAGAAACTAGAGTACCCGATAGCTTACTTATTGGTAATCAATATTTGATTACGATGCAAGTGAGGTGCACTGCCTTTTTTTCATAGTTGGATGTTTATTCGTATCATAAACATCTAAATATCAATAAAATTCAGGTTTTTTTTTTCAAATAGTGATTACAGATGAGTGTTTCTTTTCAGAAATATATTTAATATCGAACTAAAGAAAATTCTCCTACATGCAAAGATACAGAGACAGAAAAATTTCCCTGAATATTTACGCACGTACAGATATATATTCAATAGCATGTATATATATATATATATATATATATATATATATATATATATATATATATATATATATATATACATATATATATACATACATATATATATATATACATATATATATACATACATATATATATACATACATATATATATATATATATATATATATGCATATATATATATACATACATATATATATATACATACATATATATATATATATATACATATATATACATATATATATATACATATATATATATATACATACATATATATACATACATATATATA